TGTATATATATATATACTTCATAATATATATGCATATATATACATATATATGAAAATAAATATGTTGGGAACGTAAGTGTATACCTCAGACTCCTCTTTGAGAACATCCTTGCAGTTCTTCACACGTGCCACTATAGTGTGCAAGTAGTCGTAGCTCTCGCCCTGAGATCCTTTTTCGTGATGCGTGAGTACATCTAGACAGAACGTAAGTATTTTTACCGCAGACTGAATGCGTTCCTCTTCACTGCCATCCTCCTCTCTGTTACGGGCGTATGCATTGATGCCATATTTGGTAGGGTGAACTGTTATGCTTCAAAAAGCTACAAGAGAAGAAAAACGTCGACTATGACAAATACAATCGACATATATATGGATCACGACATTATTGTCCTAATTGTGTATGTTTAGGGTTTAGGGTTTAGGGCTTAGGTTTTAGGGTTTATGTTTTAGGGTTTAGGGTTTACAAAACAGTCCTCACATCACTTTTTCCCAGCTTCTGTCAGCTATTCAAATAAAACAAGGCGTGTATCCCACATATGGACAAGGTGCCCATCTACGCCACGAAGGAGGATAGCCGAACATAAGACTGCAACGAGAATCAGGATTTCAAAAGCAGTTCGTATAAGACGACCGCACGATTATGTGAAGTGTGGATCTCATACCCACCTGTGTGCAATGACTGACAAAAGCACGGGAAGCGATAGCTCCGGCCGGAACCGGTGCAGCACCTGCTCATCTGCGGCGAATTTGATTTGATTATTTTAAATTTTAGAACGTGTTACAGAATTGGAATTGTCATTATATGACGTCAGGAGTAGGGGTTGTGCAAGTTGTGTACATATCGATAGCGGCGTGAGTATTTCATGCATGAATGCCCGGTAGGTGTGCCATGGCCACAAACGTGGAACTACACACAGCGAATTTTGTGCACATCTGTGTCAGCGCTACAAGCTTGTCTACAACTGCTTAAAGGAAGAAATTATACTCGAACCAAGTATATTGAGTAGTCAAAGCGTTTTTACCCCTTAACAGCTGTTGGGTCGTTAGTAAATATCGAGGTCTGCTATCGAACAGAGAACTAATATATTGTTAAAAGAAAGACATCCCGACAAATAGGTCCCGTATTTCAGGAGTCGCTGTGCATGATACTTTGACTAGAATAGAAGTTCTGGAAGGGCGAACACAAGCAAAAAAGCTGTTGTAGCGATTCGCGCCGAACTAGCCAGCAAATCTATCATTGTATGACTCGAGTGATGCACAAAAGGGAACTCGGATAGCCCAATATCGTAAATACATGATCTCACACTATAGTGCAACTAAACAATCGACGGAGATGCGTTGTTCGGTCGAAGTCTCAACAACTGCAATTTGAGGTTTTCAAGTAGCGATTCGGGGACATGCTACGCATATGTAAATTCACGAACGCACAAGTAACTCTTCAAGTACACGGTCTAAAAAAGGATTGCGTAGATGGACACTCACTAACTTATGCACACACAAAAGATAGCTCAGATATTGTATACACACGTGTTTTACAAACAGTTTCACAGAAAGTCAAGTATAGGTGTACGTACTAGTTCCACTGGCCTTCAGCTGTGCGCTGATCTGCTTATACTTCTCCACTATCTTAACGTAAGATGCACGCGCGGATTTTTGTAGATTCTCGTTCGGATCGAGTGCGGCGATGGGCACCAGAGCCAGGAAGTTGATATCTAACTTCATTGAGAATAAACCTGCGTATATTATGAATTATTAATATAAATATCAAGCCTTGGCGAAACTGCGGAGTTTATTTGTACTATAGAATTCCATGCTTGGTGAGGAAAAGCAAATCCACAAAGAACCTCCAGTCTATAGTCCTCATATGCAGCATCCAGCAATGAATTATCATGACAATCAAATGTAAACTTGTGGACATACCTCGTATAAGCTTCTTGCTGAAGCCTTCTCGGACGCTCTCCTCTGGATCCTACCATAGTGATACAAACCAGGAAGAACAGTTGCATGTCACTGTCAGAATAATCAATTTTCCTGCTATATTTATCTTGCTATTTCTGCAGATTTGTAGTTATAGTCTTTACATATTCACAAGCAATATTCTGTCTTGGGGCAATGCTTGCAGCTTGAAATTGCCTTAGCGTGGTGCTTGACCAAATATTCACTTCGGCTTTAAAGCCACAATTTAAGGCAGAGTTTAGCAAAATACCTCAGACGTGCACTGCTTAAAAGAACAAATGACACACTATATATATGAGCCAACCAGAGAATCGCATTTCATATCGTCTACCATTGACTATTCATCAAACCCCACATAGTGTGAATAGCCATTTGCCTGATATGTCATCAGTTTATAAGGTAGTTAAATACCAGATGCATATAGGCGAATTCCCATAGCCACATGCCCCTATATAGGATAGCAAATAATACACTCAAATCTGAGCACAAATCGCGCAACAAGCCAAACAAATTTTCGTGCACCCTAAAACTCGAACGAACTATTTCATCATACTAGAATTGACCGATTTTAAGCTAAGCACACTCCCACATACATCACTTGCACACACGAACACGCACACACCTCCATAGTCAGGGCCAGCAGATCCATTTGACTTGCTGGAAGAAGAGGTTTGTATGACTTGCACATGGCCACCTTCAGGTACCCGCTAGCACCTACCAATCGCAACTTAGCATCATCCTCCTCACTGCGTATACAGAGGCAAAAGGATGCGCCAGTTGACTGTGACCATACGTGAGGTAAACTTCGGTGAGAGCGTGTATGACCTGCAGCCTCTCTTGGCTTCACAGAATATGGAAAAGGAAGTAATATAGTTGGAGGAAGTAATATAATTGCTAATAGGGTGGTGATAAGGGGTAGTTTGAAGATAAGTCATCATAAGTGAAGTAGGAAGATACTTTTTATATGCCTTGTCTGATATGATGAATCGGGGATCGATTGACGTAGTTATCCAACTATTCAATGCTTCGAGATGACTGAAAAAAAAACTAAGTGGCACATGGAGGGTAGAAGAGAACATCAAATATATAATTTTCTACATAACGACAGGCATTGTCACACTCAAATAACAAACGTGTGGTACTAAATCTACACGGTGGGTTATTCACCGAGAATGCACACACTTGAGCGTCAAATACATTTTCTCCAATTGGCTACCACCAATTTCACAATAAACTACAAAGATAGGCTGATATTAGATAAAAACCAGAATATTACATCGGTGTGATCGCAATCATTTGAGTTCAATACATTGGCAATAGCGAGCTCTCTTTTCGGCAATAGCGATCTCCCTGCATCGGCAATAGCCAGCAGCTCTCTTATGATTCGTATGGCATCAGTAAACAGTCAACACCATGTACATCTTGATTCATGTCCCGGTAAAAGTACACATTTATACAAATGTATCGGAACACCTACCTCATTGGATCACGACAAAACCGCTTATTTGCGATAAGTGCTCTCAGGAGCTTGTTTGTGATTTTGAACGCCTGAAAGTAAAAAATCATAATACAAAACCAGTCAGAAGTAAGACAGCGATGAGAATATACTTTAATGGTGAATGATAGTGCAATTTGCTGAAATAATTTCAAACCCTGTATTCCTGAAGAGTACATATTTTTCTGTGTATTGATGAAAGTTGAGTAGCATGCTTTGTTCGCAATCATGTGGCCATGAACTACTTTGATCTCGCAGATATCAGCGCCCTGCACTCAAAGGCAAATATATATACTAGTGCCAGAGCCTGATAAAAACGCATTTAATTCACGAAGAAAAACTTACATCTACTGATTTGTTCTCCTCTTCCTCCGAAGCAATTGATGCACGGGCATCCATGCCGATTAGTCGCTTTACTAGCAGTTTCACACCCAACACTTTTGCGTCAATCTCCTTATGATCTGTGTCCCCTGTTTCAGCGGTCTGAGATGGACGGTGGGGAGATAAGGTTATTTGAATGAGATACGTGCGTTTAGAAGGAATATTTCGATATTATAATTGTAATGTACTGATAGTCTACGCTCCCTGCATAGTTTCTCTTGTGCATGTAGCGAAGGATACGAGGCATATATAGCTACTAGATTGGCACATATGATCGTATGTGTCCATTTACGTTTTCGCTCCGATTGATAAATACAAGTGCGATCTTGACACACTGGTTGTTAAAACAAGGCTCTCCGGCAAGGGCGGTCAGCATGCACTCTCGTGTGGGGGATCCTTGTAGCCAATAGGGAGTAACAGGAGCTGCGCAATGAACCACACAATAAACTTTCGATGCGCGCTTGTGATATAGACAAACAATTGGAATATTAACAGAAGGGTTTAAACAAATGAGGATCAATTCTGGTCCAGAGTACTACGTACCCGGTTGTTTTGAAGCAGATCTTTGACTACAAACAGCACAGCCGGGCCGCTGTTCACGTCGAACGCTCGCGGCGCGACAACGGCAATGGTGGACAGCGCTGATAGAGTTGTACAGATCAACGCGTGATCGAAAGTGAGGCGCGCAGGTGATGTCAGCTGTTGGGTGATTTGGAAGATGATAAGATTTGGGTTGAAATCGAACTGTGACAATAAAAAAAATGAGGGTATATATATAGGTGAAGTCGATTTGAAATTGTTTGTGGGATTTAAATTCATATAAAAATAGGGGCTAGTCCGTCTCTGTTACCGTCGTATACTCGCAGTGTGACAATGATAAACCTGTCAGCCCCGATAATCATGCAAGTTCTCTAGATGTGACAACTTAATTGTCTAATCGTAAAATTAATATGGCCAACACATGTATTTCCCTATGATACAGCAACACGTAATAGTGAGCGGATATGCTACCAAATATATGTATTGGCTGGTCCATTTGTGGCGCGCTAACTCACTGTTGATACCACCTCTCACACAAGCGGATAGTAACAACGGCCTCAAAAATCAGCCAACAATGTTCTCTGAACACGCATCACACATACTCGAATAATACTCCACGCTTATCGCGGCCAACGATTCACACTTAACAAGTGTCCCAGACATAATTAAATAACACTGAGCAACCTTCGCCAGGGCCCACGGTTCACGCTTGAGTAATATCACAAACATACGCGAATATTAATCAACAAGATTATACCACGGCCAGCGATCCACACTTGAGTATTGCCACACCACACGCGAATACACCACAAGTCCTCACCTCAGAAAGCAATTCATCGAAAGCCGCGTCAGGGTTGACTGTAGCCGCAGCCCACACTCGAACCGCTAACTTTGACTGACGGGGAGTGCCTGTAAGCACCATGTCATGCATCAGAGGGTGGGTAGATCTGAAAAGAGCAACCGGGAAACTGAATGAATTAGTAGCGCGCAATACAGCGCGGAGTAGCAAACCGTACTGATGTAGCCATCATGTCGGAGGCAAGGATACGAATAAGTGTATTTGCAAGCAGTATATTGAGAATCTGTCATTGAGCAGCCTGTTTTAAGTTATAATTTCGGCAATAACATATCGAGTATATCTCGATCAGTAAACACAGCACACTGTGCATCAGCGTATGATGTATAGATACAGTCGAACAGACAGGTGCAAATGTGTGTTTCTGTATGCATATATTTGTACTTGGGACAGACAATGACCAGCAGCACCTTAATACTGGCACCGGTAGTTTTGGGCACACTAAGTGAGCTCTGCTTTCTTAACTTACATCGTCATGCTTTGTCTCTCGTAGGATTAGAGTGACATCTCTATCAACTAGCGCGCCCAAGTGTTCTCACACTACACAAAAATCATTCATTGCATGCTGGTGCAGAATATAATATTCAATCTGAGAAAGCAAAGGCGTACGAGTACCCCTGGGCACACAACAGGATACTTCATGCATTCGACTTGTTGAGTGCGCACGTACGCAATAAGCGACACAATTATACAACTCGCTTCTCCTATTTTAAATTGTATATTTTGAGCAACTTTGTAGAGAATAGATACTACAAGCACAAGTAAACACATATAGTGTACTTACTCTAGCAGGCTCTTGGCATTACCGTGGCGCAGAGACTCTCCCATCAAGGCAAGCAATTGCAGCCCAGCATCAACTGTAACCAACAGGTAGCGCGTTGTTTGCATGCCGAATGAAGTTAGTGTGATGAAGTATTTGCCTTGCATGTATCGAACCACTACTATTGATGCAATTTTAACGTCGAGATTAATATATGATTCGCGGTTTTCTTCACGCTTTGTGGGGCGTACATGAAATATGTCCTAAACAAAAAAATACACCATAGATTGCTCCAATTAAGACCATATATATAGAAGAATGTGTAACAATGTGTCACAACGACGATTGATGAGCTCTGTTGGCTATTATTCAGACAACCCCGACGACCAAGGTAAGTGCCAATATGCAAGCACATAAGATACCACTGCATTCGCCATAACGTGCCTTGACATACCTATTTCATTCGATTCAGCCTTTAGAAAATCAATGAGGTTCTCCAGAATTGGCTGAGCCTCAAAATGCACAGGAGACACCTGAGCTAGCATCTGCACATACAACGATCAATTAGCACTGAACGAGAAGCAATATGCGATTGCACGCTTCTTAACCTGCAAGTCCTAAACTTATGTAAGTAAAGAGTAAAGAATGAGTCTTGTCGCTATCTGCGATTGAGAGCATTCTCGTTAACATCTGAGAAAATATGTGTTGATTTACTTCGCTAGCACTAATTCATGATTGCGAGGCACTAGCTCCTACAAATATCAAGATATATTTTTTATTTCTAGAAATTTTGAAAACTCACTAACGAAGACAACTCTACCATAGACGAGCAAACATAATGAATGACAGTCTGATGCTTCATCCCAAAGCTAAATGAAGATTTCTGACAGAAAACAACAGTTGTGTCCAGTAGTTTGCTGCCAATTTAAATAAACAAATAGGTAAGATCCCGTAATGTACCTCAACAGAAATCGATACAGAAAAATATTAATATGATTGGTAGCGTTAGTAGTAACACACCAACGTATGCACATGTATTAAAACTCATACATCTGAAATCGATGCGCTCGTGAACTCCCCCTTACCTTCAAGAACGAGCACACTGTCACAAACTCGACATTCTCAAATTCAGTGTCTTCGTTGGCAAGTGCGCGCAGGATCGCCAACTGATGCGTTACCAGATCTTGGCTGAAAATGACCAGTGAGGTACGACTGAAGATGGCTTTCACAACGTCCTTCTCCTTGACTTTGGTGACTGCATCTGACTGTGTTGTGAGCATGTGTGTGCGATTATTCTTTTTTAAATATCTTACGACTGCCTCTACGAATGCATTACAATTTGTTTTTAGAGGTCAAATAAGGAGGACTCCACATGCGCGATCTACAAGAATATGTATGGCATCCCACGAAACCAATCGAGAGATACATATCTCAAATATGAATTTTAACATGATCGCGTACGATAGTCTAGCTGATGCACAGTCAATAAACCACAGCGCTCAACGCATGCTGCAAAGACACCGAAGTGAACAAGAAGATGCAATGTTGATCATTGGGACAAATCCGGCAGCAAAACACGTACTAGAATTTCTCGTCGTTTCTCAGGGGTGGTGCTGACTTGCTGGGCTTTGAGTATCAACTTGAAGAGGGAGAGATCTTTGCTTTTGTGGATTTTCAAGAGCTTATCGAAATTGGTGCTTACATTTCCACCGAGATTTTTTGCAATTGTATCGAGTAGTTGCTTGGCCTGTAATACAATGTCGTACGCATTAGCCTTCGCCTAAAAGTTTGCGGCAATAAAAAAAATACTGTTTAAATGAGATTCATTTTTATATGCAGTTTCTACGATGTACGTTTATCGCGTGAATGTTAGAGCTGGAAGTAGATGTTAGGCAGATTGGCAAAAGTTATGAGGTAAAATTTATGTCATCGAATTTTGTAGCAGAGTCCATGAATTCTCGGAAGGTATCAAAAGAAACGCATATTAATTTAATGGCAATTGAACATATTCCTCGAATTCACGCGCAGAAGTGACGAGCAAACAAATAGACAAATATCGTAACAAGAAAACATCAAAAGAAAGGGCAAATTAATACAAATGAAGCAAGAAACTATAGCAGCGACACACACTGCCAGATCAGACGATTGACCCTCGATTGCGATCACATACCTTGATGTCCGTTTCCTCCCGATCCTCAGCTTTCTTCAGTCCGATCCTCAGATCACAGTACTTCTTAACTACACCCAATAGATTGATTTTGTGCTTGATCAATTGAGTGTAGGCCTTTATACCCGTTTCACTGAGAGACATGTACATATTCAGCACTTGTAAGGCACGCTCTTCTGCCGACGCCTTATTATCGATCAGGCAGTTCTGTATCACAGTTTCTGCAGAATGTGTAGTAAACAAAAGAACGACAATGTCGCGTATCCGATCTTGTTTTTATTGCCTCAGAGCATAATGTTTTCCATCAGTGACCCTTGAATTGTTGCATTATTCGTTGCAACGAATTCATATTCATTTATCCGCGAATGCCTGCGTGGAGGTCATGACAGGTGTCACGTATGCAGTGAATACCTCCTGATTAACCCAAACCTCAAAAAATTAAACCTGCTCAATGTAGTTTCACAGCGATGTACAGAATCTGAGACAAATATGATTTCTGCATCAATTCGGTACAAACAAATCACAGTCACATACCCGCGACACGCTGTGTGGAGTCGATAGGCGATGCACCACTCGTCGCGTACGCAGTGAACACAAACTCGGGGATTGCGCCGTATACTGCGAATAACTCGCGCTCATGACTTCCAATCATACCCGCAGAGTTGAGAGTTTCACCAGCATGACTGCACAGGTAGATTAAAAAAATCTTGAATCTGAAGTAGAAATGATCTAATGCACATCCTAAACTCTGGGCAGTTCGCGTAATTTATCGCTGTAGAGAGGCCTCATGGTTATATTCAATGACCGTACGCTGGGTTAGATGCAACAGGCCGTATACTACGACGATCACTGCAGCACTGTGGCTGCTCATATTCAGGAAAGGTCGATGCTTCGAGTTACGTATGTCTGTGCACCTGCAACATTGCCGACATAGTGTTCTAGGTAGCAAAAATATGCGCTTGGCTAGGAAAACAGCCAAGCGCAAGGAAAATTCTAAATATTTCTAAATGACTTACCACAGTAGTAGAGTCTTATATACTTCGCCTATTTGCTTGATCGCAAGGTCGCGGACTTCGGGCTGTAAATGAAATACGAAGAAGACAATAAAATATCGTTCGGAATCCATAGATATATTTGCCGATGGATGTCGGATATTTCTTCCGATACTAATATGCTGGATGAAAAGTGCTTCGACACAACGTCCTGCTGCGCAATACATGCCATCACGAGAGCGACAAACCATTCAGATGTTCATGTGGGTTCACTGCCTTAATAAGATGTACAAACTTGATATCAAACGTAATTTTCTACGAGCATGCACGATCTAGTATAAATCCCCCAAATGTATGACTGGGAACCGCACCTTCTTGTCCTTGCTCCGACAGCAGAGTCTTTCGAAAACTTCCTTCGATACCACGGACGGATTTGCCATCGCAGTAGAACACACTGCCTGCACTGTGCCCATGCGCACACTTTCGGCAGGATCAAGTACCCTCTCTCCTATTCGATTGACGATGTCTGCGAACGAATCGAAACAAAAGGGCTGAGGATTATCACAAGAAAAAGTGAGGTTTACCTGCGAGATATTGAGGTCTAAAATAAATTCGTCCTTATATATGATTGATGATATTTGCGCCTGTATTGGAAGGGTCAGGTCAAGATGAATCGGTCAGAGTAGAGTGTATGACTAAATTTTGAAGTATGCGAACCGAAATGGTGAAACAGCCATGAACCCATATGTAAAGTGCACCCCATGAACCCATATGTAAAGTGCACCCCATGAACCCATATGTAAAGTGCACCCCATGAACCCATGTGTAAAGTGCACCCTTCTATAGAAAAGGCTTACTGAGCACACTTGACTCTGAAATTATAAGGCTCGATGAACATATGCAACAGACCCTTGTGGTAATCACTGAGACTTCAGTTAAAGCGTATACTCAAGTCGAAAAACGCGACTGTTGTGTGTTAGAGTTTGTGGGGTCCGATGCACGTGAAATAGTTTATTATAGAAGCGTTTGTGAAATACATACAAAGCAAAAGGCAAACATTAATACAGCGTCAACCGTTTGGCGTGCGCTCAAAAATTCACCTACGAGGAAATGAAACAAGTATTCATGTATTTATGTACTGTTGCGTGCAGCGTTAAATGAGAAAATATCGTTCAAACAGTACGGTTCAAAAAGCATCATTTGTCGTACCGGAAGCGTGACGTGGATGCCGAGTCACAAACTGACTGCAATGTGCCACCACCTCCGCCCGAATGGCTGGCTCTATGTCCTTCAATCGCTGCAGCAGTTGCTCCCACAGACCTCGATGAGTTTCGATCATGGTAGAATCACGACAGAACATTCGACACAGCAATTGCGTCGCTTGGTATCTATTCAAAAATGTAAGGTGGAATACAGGTTGGTTTGTGCTTGAAAAATCGAACGCACGGAGCAGATGAGTCGAACCGATAGAAATGATTAGATGCATAATCGCGATCGTCGGAAAATTGTAGACGTCTATTGAGCTTTATACCCAGCTACACACAAATCTGCATCGTCAGAGAGCGCGCGAGATCCGTACTGTTGAGGCCTTATATAAATGTTGGCGTCTTTCATAAACTCATATGCACACTAGTATGCGTACATGTACATTCATAAGCATAAACGACTGATACAGCTACAAAACCACGCAATACCGTCATAAAAAAATCCACATGCACTCAAGTAACACGACTGAAGTGATACGACTGATACTGTTACAAACCAACGCAATAATACTCGTGTAGTATCCTCACCTTTTTTGCTGCTTCTCGTCTTTGATCTGAGGGTCGTAGTTCACTTCCAGCATTTGCTTGAGCAGAGGGTATACGTAAAGTATAGCATTGGGTGCGATATCACTAATTTCTCCCAGCAGTGCGTACACGTTTCCACCGTGTACCAGTTCGGCCCGTGATTTGTTTGCTCCGGTGAGTATCTCTCTGAAGAACTGTAACGTCCATAGGCGTGCGAAATACGAACCGTTGTTAGGAACTATGTTGTACAGACAAAAGGATACATCACCCTGTCAGCTATCACCTCTAGATATAGTCTGGATCCTGGCTCTTAGCTATGATAGCTGTCAGAGTATATTTGAATCACCACAAACTACCAATAGACACCACTCTCTATCATTGGCGACTAATGAGCTAAAGCTGCGTCGTATAGCTTAGCGAGTACGCCATTCTAACCGCACTAATAAGCAAGTGATGTAGCTACGCTACAACGTTCACTCATATCCTTAAGAAAGTATCACATGTATGTATACCACTTGAGTTATTTTGGATCGTTCAGCTCAAACTGGAACTGATATCCGGCACTGACAATTTGATATATGGCGAGCAATACTGCGGCGGTGAGATGGATCTAAAAGAGCAAGAATGTCGCAGCAAATCTCCAGTTGATCGAGGGACTCGTTTAAATACTCACACTACTTGCATGTCACACAATTTAAAATGTAGCATAGGGTGTCCTTGCAACGTAATTGTGTGAAAGCAGCGATAACCTTTTCCAAGTGCATGAATACACGAGAGCACACGTCGCTTTGAAATTTGAAATGGAAGTAACCTAGATTAACTCAGCTTACCCGGGTTAGGTCTCCTTGCATCGCAGTTTCGGCCTTCTGAAGTATCAGTCTCGATAGCGAAAACTGAATTGGATTTTCTTTCTGCAACGAATGAAGCCTGTGTTAGTCCATGTGATTCTTTTTCCATAAGCAGAGACTTCTTTCCAAAACCAGGCGAAGTAAATCGCAGCACGAGGAAATGGTTACTACTCAGATACATACTGTCTGTAAACGTGTGCCTTAGTAATTATATGATCGTATACTCCCCTAAATGACCAGATCGGTAGATAGGTTTGCTTGACCTATGGATTCTACAAACTTTACAGCCTAAGTTGAACCTACGATTGGAACACATTTTTATCCAGCGTGTGGTAATTAATGAGTTTAGACCACATCCAACCACTTTACATTAAAAAATTGAACTCAGCCGACTGGAGTCGTCATACCTTGTTGTCAGGCAAGAGGGACTCTAGAATGGCAATAAGCAGCTCAGGCTCAATACTGTCCATCTCCTTGAGACTTCCCGCCACCATGTCAGCCATGTATGACACAAGTTTGTTGGAGTGATTCGAACTGTATTGGAGCCCAAATTAGAAAGGTATGACCTTGACATGTATAGCCTCCGTGTTCAAGGGAGAAACTTGGAAATTACATTGCACACTTATCGCTAAAGTTGGTGTCAATGACAGATACTCATATTTTACTGATCTTTCGAAAATTTTCAGTCCTGTATTCATTGAAATGCATATGCACATATATCCCATGTGTAAACTACAGCAAATACATAACATGACTCGTTGCGTGTAGCGTGCAGGCCTCGAACAATACGTGGGCGGGTGAACTGTTACAACAGAATGTACATCTGTTTGACGCATTCTCAGCCCCAATATAGAACTCGTGCGTACATATCCGTGCATGAAACCACTTTGAGATAAGTGCCATTGGCATGACACACCTCACGGTCTCCTTCAATGTCGACACCAAACTGCAGAACAATTCGGTCGCCTCGGGTAGCTCAATGCAGAGCACAAACGAATGCACAAACGCGAGCACTTCCAGAAGAGAGAACGCCAGTGTGAAATACGGTGACTGGTGATTCGCAAGACCCCGTAGTTGCGAGATGAAGAACCTGAAAACCGCCTGTATGAAAAAATTTATATGGAAGTGTGTGAGACGAGTACGAGTTGCAAGACCCTGAGCGAGTACGAGTTGCAAGACCCTGAGCGAGTACGAGTTGCAAGACCCTGAGCGAGTACTTTTGATAACGGTAAGTGCAGCATTAGACCAACTATACATAGTTCAGATGTCAAGCTCGCTATAAAAATTGCTAGTTTTCCAGGCAGTCACCGTACCAATGGCTACGCATTTGGCACGAGTACAATACCCCACCGTCATTGAGGAAATATATGCGGAAAATCGGCAGCCACTTTCATAGGGTCGTAGCCACGATATACAGTGTTGAAAAGATATCTGAGACTCGCATCCAGACTATCAAGTTACCAGATTGCACATGTGGCACGGTCGAATGAGCAAGTATGAGGATTCAATGAACGTTTCGCTTTGATTTCTGTCTAGAGATCTGGCTCGATAAGACCATTAAATAGAATGCGTAGTGGAAACATCCCGGATGCCCTGCAAATCCCGGATTGTCAACATCGAACAGAGCACACTATCTCACAAAAGGAGTGCACAACCAACACTAATGCTCGCAATCATAGGCCGCCGAATTGAAGATCGAGCTACAACGGTCTGGGAGTTCCGCCAAAAACTTTATATCTATAGCAATTGGGTATTTAACACAACCCTTACATTTGCACATCCACCACCAAAAATAAAGTTTTCCACATGCGTTTGATGACCTAACTACAAACACAAGCACTACTTTATGAAAATATACTTTTCGAGATATATTGATGGCAGATAACCTATTCCATCGGGTTTTATGAACTCATGTTCGCGTGTCTACAATGCCACGTTGGCTTTTGAACGGGTTATTTGATAGCATTTATGAGCTGATAATCGATTTCGGGACAAAAGTATGCCATCAAGAGAACAAAGAAAAACACATACCACCAGAACCTCGTCGTTGTAGGGGGTCTGCGGTGCATAGAGTCTCAGTACTTCTGCCAAACAACACGCGACGTATATCTTGACGTCTTTGTCCTTGTGTTTCAGCAATGAAGTATCTACCAAAGTCTCGGCAAAATGTGCGATCTCGCTACTGACCGTTTCATGCTGCTTCTGTTTCTGCAGGTCTACGAGAAGTGCCTTTAGACGCTTCAAGAGCTCGTCTTTACTTATTCTACCTGTTATTTCTTTCAAGACCCACGATTTCTTCTTACTGTTACCGGTAGGTAGACTAGCAGTAACAACACTAACGCTAGCTCCTTCTATGGTGGCCACTGCACTGTCTTGGGAACTCTCCTCTGGGCTCTCTTTGAAATCGAACTCGCTCTGAGTCGATGCGCTCGATTGAGCACTCCCTTTCCCCTTCTTATCTGCACGTTTCTTGATTGTAGTTGCGGTTATTTTGACTGCTTTCCCTATCCCTTTGGTCGTCGCTTTAGCTTTTGCTTTAGGTTTAGTCTTTGCTATGGATTTGGGCTTGGCTTTTGCTTTGACTTTGGTCGCCTCCCCCTTGCTTTTGGCTGCCGCCCCTCTAGCCATACTGATTGAATGTGTATCTAATTACCGTATCCGTAAGTCTTGTATGCGCAGGATGTGCGTGTATGTATTCCAGTTCCATACAGATCGTATACATAGGCTCTCGTCACAGAGATGTACCTTTGATATGCACCGTTACATACGCATAGATACCTTCCATACACACTATGTCGTATAATTATATAATTATATATATCTAGATATCTATATATATATATATATATATATGTATATGTGTGAATATTTATTTATACATACATATATATTTATATATATATATATATATATATATATATATATATGTATATATAATAAACACACACCTACCTCTCACTCACATATATATATATATATATATATATATATATATATGTATATATCTATCTATCTATATATATATATGTATATATATATATATATATATATATATATATTTATATATATACATATATATATATATATATATATATATATGTATATGTATATGTATATGTATATGTATATGTATATGTATATGTATAT